CCCCTGTAGTTTAAATGGTTCTTATATTCAGAAATTTATTATTTTAATACATTTTCAATTTGTGCCACATTCCAAAACATACTTTGATGCTATATTACTAATAGCATTCATTCCGGAAGAATCAATAGGATATACACCAACTTCTTTTAGTAGATTCAGTTTTTTTTTATTACTCCATTTAAAGTAGATTCTTTCTGCCGCTCTAACATATGAACCAATCATGTCACGTATTTCAGCAATCGACTTGTCCTTATGAATCGGATTATATACTTGAAATTCTTGTATCAAATAGTAGATGGTAGCATACTTATACATTTCGGCTGTTGGATTCGAATCTATCGGTATTGCATTGTAAAATGGTAATATCTGATAACAACACATGGCTGGCGGCAAATCAATGACAATTGGCTTCATAAATTTATATTCATGAAGAACCAAAAGTACAATCCAAGGAAAGGCATTAGCAATTCTTGGCAAAGTTATGATATCCGTATTTTTCGAAAATCCAACACATCCCTCGATTTCATATGTAGAAATAAGATATTCAATTTTTTTAAGGGTTTCTGTGTCGCGAACCCTATTTTTAATCTTTTCTATATTTGGCCCGCCAGATAAATAGATTTTAATGATTTCTTTTAAATCAACTTCAAGAGTATTAGCATCGGATACTTTGGTCATCATTATGTTGTGTATATTATCTACAACTGAAGGTGGTTTTTGTGATTCCAATTTCAGCATTGCCTTGGATTTCTTTCGTTTCATTTTAAAAGGTACAAAAAATATATACAGCTTTATCTAAGACCTGAAAAAAGAAAAAAATATTTTAATATTCACAACTATTTATTTTACACATTATTAAATATATTCGTTTACTTTCCAGCAAGAAATATTCAATAATTCTGGGAAAATATTGCTACAAGTAAACAAACTACAGTACGACACGACAGTAAAATCCAGCAAAGAAAGCATGAAAACATTAAATGTATGTCGTCATATAAAAATTAAAAAAAAAAATGGCAAAATCAAGACGAATTTTGAAGAAATATTTTATAATTAAGTTTCCAATGTACTTTTTACAATATTAAAAATAATCTAATGCGGTATTTTTAATTTAAAAATATTGCATATTGAAAAAAATAATAATTTTGGAGTAGTTCATGTATTGTTGTTTATGATGTGAATAAGAAAATTCTAAATTTTAAGCCATGTAATAAAGTTTATGTGAATCGACCATGGCCCTTGGGGCTAGGTTCGAGTTTATGAAATAAATTGAATTGAAAAATAATAAAGTCCTCAATTGCAATTATAAACAAGTAAAAACGTAATCATGCTATGTTGATATACCTTATCATGTGGTTGGTATTTAAAATACCTTACGTCGGCTATGTTATAGTTATTTGTAGATTGTTTATCGGAGAAAACGTAATATGAAATTATATACACTCAGGTTGGAGAATTGGGCTAGGAACTTCAACATACCTATATTGAAGGATGTCCGCAAATATGTTTTTCATCTTCCTACAACTCGGAATGCCAAATTACGGTTCCGTCTGAAGAATATACTAGCATTTAGCGCCATATGTTGTGATGTATGTCTTAATTCAAACATACAATAAACCTAGAGTTGTGTCGTTCCGAAATGAACTAGTTCGAAGGAAGTAAGTAAAAAGTAACAATCGATACTAGGTCTGTCTCTTTAGTACGTCTAGTTCCTTTTGCATAAGTAGTTCATTATCTTATTGTTTTATTTATCTAGATATCCTCGTTCCTTTAGTTCCATCAGTCCATGTAATATTTACCTCTCTATTTTTGTGAGCAATTCCATAGTATCAATATTGTACATAATTCAGTTCAAAATAATAATTGATTAAGAAATTACAAGCCATTTTATTCTTTAATTAAAAAAGTATTGTAAAGTAGTATTTTTTTGTAGTTTTACAGATGTTTTTGTAATATTTCCATTTCGTAAGTATTTCGTGTATAAAACTTTTCAATTTTTAAGGCAGTATTATTAAAAAGTAGTTAATTTTAATGAGCATTCTTATAAATATAATTAAAAATATAATGTTTTTAGAATATTGTTAAAAAAAATTTAAAAAAAAACTATAAAAAGTACTTTTGGGGTATATTCGGCATTTTGAAATGGGGCACATTCGGCCATATACGGATAGTGTGATATTATTTTATTATTGTTTTTGAATTTGTCTTTAAAAAATAATCATTTAATATGGTTCGGAATCACATATATAATACCAAACGTGCTTGTACTCTCGAAAATGCGATAGAAAAAAGCTATTTCTGATCGTATATGTGGCCCTGAGACGTCACCGTTCTCGCCTAGAAAATATAGCATTGGGCACATTCGCCGAATTTGACTTTTTTTAACAAAACTGTAAACGTGTTTAACTAATACTAATTTATTATATGTTTTTGGTACCAGTTTTTATAATTGTGTATCAGACGACAATAACCAGTCATAAAGTTTTTATATTTGTTGAATAAGTACTAAGATATTGAGCTCTAAAGAAAGTGCCGAATGTGCCCCAGTCTCCCCTACAATGTTTATATATATATATACATGTATATATATCATATTTGCGGAACATTTGTATCAAAAATTAGGATATGTCCATTTTATTTTTTCTTCAAAATTTATTAAAAATGTCGGAACGTTTCATAAAGGGATAATGTCTCTGACAATTGTCTGTTGGTATATTGTTTATGATTATGGTGGACCTTTATGTTACAACGAGGAAAATGTTTTTTTTCGTTTTTTTTTTATTAACCAGGACACCATAATTCTAAATTACAGCTACTTGTGTGGTAAAATCCGTTGGGCTGTAAAAAACTTAGCTTTATGAGAACCCACAATATAAAATTACTGTCAATTTGGTTCAAAAACGTCACATTTCCAATACTAAATATCCTAGGGACAACAGCAAATATTACGACATAAGCTACATTTACATTTGAAGTCTTATGTAGTATTTTGAAGTCATATTTACACGTTTCAAAAATTTGAGCAGAACATTCTTTCAATACATTTCAAAATATTTTGATCAAAGTTTGATCAACATGTTTGAAGTTAATTTACACTATAGGTAATTTTTTATATTGAAATATTGACGACGACACGGTCGTAATATAATTAGCATTTTTAATATTGTAGGAAGAAGTAGCCGATAACTATGAAAAAAAAAGAAAAACACAAAAGCAACATTCGATTCAGCTTTTTCGTTTGGAAGGTGATGGTGTGTATGTTTATTTTAGGGAGCGATGGAAACGGAATGATCCCGAGCTATACAAACACTTTGTACGAATGCCACCAGAAGATTTTGATTATTTGCTTGAACCATGAGGGAATCTATATGCCCCGGAGAACGTCTGGCAATAACATTGAGATTTTTAGCGACTGGGGACAGCTATGCAAGTCTGATGTTCTTGTACCTGAAGTCTGCACTGCAATATATAAGGCATTAAAAGATGATTTTTTAAGATAAATCCGAATTTATTACATAAAAAACATAATAAAAACTATATATTTATACTGATGCCAGCAACAGAGGAGGAATGGGAGAGTATTTCCCAAAGTATAAATAAAACTTGGAATTTTCCCAATTCAATCGGGGAACTAGATGGAAAACACGTCGATATTATAACACCAACGCACTGTGGAAGTGCATATTACAATATTAAAAAACGAAAAACAGCATTGTTTTGATGGCGCTTGTGGACGCGAAGTACAATATACATATGATATGTATTGATCAAAAGAATGAACATGCTGTCAAAATATTTGTAGTCATCAATATTGCCAGATGCGATTTTGATGCCAATTTACAATCTTCAAAAGTTTTGTTCAATATATTTTGAAGAAATTTTGCTGTCTACACGAGTTTGAAGCATTTGGAAGAAACCTTCAATCACCTATAGTAGTAGTATAGTAGTGCAGTTGAGTTGTAAGAACTGAACAGTAAATCTGTTAAGAATTTTTTTTTAGAATTAAATTGCGCAAATAAATAGCTTTATTTCTTTTTATTAACTTCAACACTTTCATTCTGGAAAAAATATATATTAAAAAATTACTAATAAAAAAAAATTAAAAAAAAAAATATTTCAGTAGTGTTGGCGGGTTATTTGGGATGCCATTTGTATTTTGTTTTTGCAAAATAGTGAGGCTGAATCCCAGTTAGTTTTTTAATAAAAAACAACTATTAGTGGGGAATGTTGGCATTGTCCGCCGAGGGGTAAGGCGGATATCGCCACTGATCCTCATCAGTCCCCTTAGTGTTTTGTTGGGATATTCTCCTCAGAAGCTATTTATTGCTTCTTTACAAAAAACCTTTCATACCCAAATGTCTCTTGTGACAATTCGAAGTTCTTACGTTACCAGCGATATGACCTCAGTGAGAACTTCGTTTCGATGTTGCCCCAAAAGCTATTTATTGCTTCTTTGCATTGTCCTTACCCCTCGGCGGACAATGTCATACATTCCCCACTAATAAATAGTTGTTAAAAAAAACAACAACAACAAACTGGGATGCTGCCTCACTATAAAGTCGGAGGCGCGCCGCCTCCGACTTTATTTACAAGAGCAGATCGGCGTTAATTTGTACGGCTGAAACCCACCGCCGACAATTTGAATGAATAATTGTATGTTGGAAAATGCGGCTAAAACCCACAAAATATTGGAAATTGACATATACCGATAATGATCATTTTCTGCTTAGATGTATGCCAGCCTTCAAATGCCAGAAATTACCGTCCGTATTACTCAAATACACAGGGACATTATTATACATATGTATGTAAAAAATAAAATACATCGATTTTATTATGACATTTCATTTATTTTGTAATTAATACTATAATACAAAAATATTTAATATTTAGAATAACATAAAAAACAGGAATTGTAATATTTTGTCTTGTACAAATACATATTTTGGGCAGAATTATATTTTTATTGTTTAATAGGCTTTAAAGTTAGTTTTTATAATCTAACCTAAAACAATTTTGGCCTCCTTGCCCTGTACAATAATTTTTTGACCATTGAAAAGACAAAACTCTCGTTTCACGTATGCAAATAGTAAGTCGGTGACTAAAAATATCTGAAAATGTATTCATATATTAAACATATTTACTCTTATATTCTTAAAAGTCTTCGAAATATTTACCTGTCCTGTTGAAAATGCTAATGTGGCACCAAAATAGAAATTAGCATTAGCTGAACCAGAATAAATCCATAAATGCCATAAGGCGGGTAGCATACAAAGTGACACCACAAAGAAACAAAATACAATAAAATTGTGTACCATAACTGCAATGAAGAAAAAGACGTTCATTAGATGTAATATAAATTAATAAAATAAGTAGAGCAAATGACCACTTACATTTCCATGAGCGTTTCCATAGAGGTAATAATGCCAAGTAGAAAGAAACATCTCCGACACAAGGATATGCACGAAATATTGACATTAGCCCGATTAATATTGTTGCAAGGAGAATCGGTTCCTTGCGGAGCTTCAAGGACAATGGCACCAAATACAGAACCGTTGCATTCATTTGGAATGTTATCAAGAACATTGTGCGGAAATGTTCAAACATTTCAGTAAAGAAATACCAGAACAAACCAATGTTTGGTTGCAAATCACGATAGAAAAATCTGAAAAATAAAAAGTATTTAATAAGATAGATTTTCTTAAGTAGATTCTTGGATTGAAAGTATTTGTCTACGTTAATTAACACAGACAATGTAAGACGATTTTTTTTCTTTAAAACTGAATATTTTATTTTAAAACTTATCCTATTGTGATAAAACTTGGTAAAACGTATTATTTTGGCCCTATCGAATTTAGTGATAATCGATTCAGATTTAGATATGCTTCAAAATATATATAATGATGCAGTCAAGAAGGTTTGTCGAAGAAGGTAGTTCTCATATATTATGTCTGTCCATTTTCATATAAATTTTGATTTTTTTGTCCTGTAGGTCTATTCTGTAACTTTTTAAAAACTTCACTCATTGTTTTTTTTTTCAATAATTCCAATGAATTGTTTCTTTTGTTTTTTTTTTACAATAACAAAAGAAACTTAAGTAATATCGCTATTTCTTAAAATGTGTATAGTAGGTCTACAAGTCTGCTGGGCATAGTTTTTCGAATTACGTGCCCAAAGTTTGTTTGAAGTATGTCGATATGGTTGGTATTCATGTCAACATGGCATCCAAGATGCTACATAACTTTTCCAAACGGTTACAGATTTCTTGCTTATACTCAAAATGGTGAAGGGTATCATATTGTCGGTCCATCCGACTTGGGCCATTTGTTTGTTAAGGAGTTTTGTACGAATATACGCGACATTAAGTATCGACTATTACAATATCACATTTATAAAATATTAGAATTAATAATTTACTCACATAAATCCCAATGTACCATCAATGAAATTCCAACTTTTATCTCCCATTAAGGCATAGTTCAATCTGAACATTGCAATGCTGAGAACGACGAACGACAAAGCAATATGTAAAATGGCTTTAACTTTTCCACTCTTATTAAACACTAGAACGGCTGGAGCCAGCAATATCACAGGATACAAGTTGCGATGTGACTCAATCACAACAGAAAATAGAAACAACATCAGATGATGGTCTACTAAGGCATACAAAGCCAATGACAGGAACATATTACTAAAAAAAAAAAAAATTTATTACATAAAAAACATAATAAAAACTATATATTTATACTGATGCCAGCAACAGAGGAGGAATGGGAGAGTATTTCCCAAAGTATAAATAAAACTTGGAATTTTCCCAATTCAATCGGGGAACTAGATGGAAAACACGTCGATATTATAACACCAACGCACTGTGGAAGTGCATATTACAATATTAAAAAACGAAAAACAGCATTGTTTTGATGGCGCTTGTGGACGCGAAGTACAATATACATATGATATGTATTGATCAAAAGAATGAACATGCTGTCAAAATATTTGTAGTCATCAATATTGCCAGATGCGATTTTGATGCCAATTTACAATCTTCAAAAGTTTTGTTCAATATATTTTGAAGAAATTTTGCTGTCTACACGAGTTTGAAGCATTTTGAAGAAACCTTCAATCACCTATAGTAGTAGTATAGTAGTGCAGTTGAGTTGTAAGAACTGAACTGTAAATCTGTTAAGAATTTTTTTTTTAGAATTAAATTGCGCAAATAAATAGCTTTATTTCTTTTTATTAACTTCAACACTTTCATTCTGGAAAAAATATATATTAAAAAATTACTAATAAAAAAAAAATTAAAAAAAAATAAAAAAAAAAATATTTCAGTAGTGTTGGCGGGTTATTTGGGATGCCATTTGTATTTTGTTTTTGCAAAATAGTGAGGCTGAATCCCAGTTAGTTTTTTAATAAAAAACAACTATTAGTGGGGAATGTTGGCATTGTCCGCCGAGGGGTAAGGCGGATATCGCCACTGATCCTCATCAGTCCCCTTAGTGTTTTGTTGGGATATTCTCCTCAGAAGCTATTTATTGCTTCTTTACAAAAAACCTTTCATACCCAAATGTCTCTTGTGACAATTCGAAGTTCTTACGTTACCAGCGATATGACCTCAGTGAGAACTTCGTTTCGATGTTGCCCCAAAAGCTATTTATTGCTTCTTTGCATTGTCCTTACCCCTCGGCGGACAATGTCATACATTCCCCACTAATAAATAGTTGTTAAAAAAAACAACAACTACAAACTGGGATGCTGCCTCACCGCCTCCGACTTTATTTACAAGAGCAGATCGGCGTTAATTTGTACGGCTGAAACCCACCGCCGACAATTTGAATGAATAATTGTATGTTGGAAAATGCGGCTAAAACCCACAAAATATTGGAAATTGACATATACCGATAATGATCATTTTCTGCTTAGATGTATGCCAGCCTTCAAATGCCAGAAATTACCGTCCGTATTACTCAAATACACAGGGACATTATTATACATATTTATGTAAAAAATAAAATACATTGATTTTATTATGACATTTCATTTATTTTGTAATTAATACTATAATACAAAAATATTTAATATTTAGAATAACATAAAAAACAGGAATTGTAATATTTTGTCTTGTACAAATACATATTTTGGGCAGAATTATATTTTTATTGTTTAATAGGCTTTAAAGTTAGTTTTTATAATCTAACCTAAAACAATTTTGGCCTCCTTGCCCTGTACAATAATTTTTTGACCATTGAAAAGACAAAACTCTCGTTTCACGTATGCAAATAGTAAGTCGGTGACTAAAAATATCTGAAAATGTATTCATATATTAAACATATTTACTCTTATATTCTTAAAAGTCTTCGAAATATTTACCTGTCCTGTTGAAAATGCTAATGTGGCACCAAAATAGAAATTAGCATTAGCTGAACCAGAATAAATCCATAAATGCCATAAGGCGGGTAGCATACAAAGTGACACCACAAAGAAACAAAATACAATAAAATTGTGTACCATAACTGCAATGAAGAAAAAGACGTTCATTAGATTTAATATAAATTAATAAAATAAGTAGAGCAAATGACCACTTACATTTCCATGAGCGTTTCCATAGAGGTAATAATGCCAAGTAGAAAGAAACATCTCCGACACAAGGATATGCACGAAATATTGACATTAGCCCGATTAATATTGTTGCAAGGAGAATCGGTTCCTTGCGGAGCTTCAAGGACAATGGCACCAAATACAGAACCGTTGCATTCATTTGGAATGTTATCAAGAACATTGTGCGGAAATGTTCAAACATTTCGGTAAAGAAATACCAGAACAAACCAATGTTTGGTTGCAAATCACGATAGAAAAATCTGAAAAATAAAAAGTATTTAATAAGATAGATTTTCTTAAGTAGATTCTTGGATTGAAAGTATTTGTCTACGTTAATTAACACAGACAATGTAAGACGATTTTTTTCTTTAAAACTGAATATTTTATTTTAAAACTTATCCTATTGTGATAAAACTTGGTAAAACGTATTATTTTGGCCCTATCGAATTTAGTGATAATCGATTCAGATTTAGATATGCTTCAAAATATATATAATGATGCAGTCAAGAAGGTTTGTCGAAGAAGGTAGTTCTCATATATTATGTCTGTCCATTTTCATATAAATTTTGATTTTTTTGTCCTGTAGGTCTATTCTGTAACTTTTTAAAAACTTCACTCATTGTTTTTTTTTTCAATAATTCCAATGAATTGTTTCTTTTGTTTTTTTTTACAATAACAAAAGAAACTTAAGTAATATCGCTATTTCTTAAAATGTGTATAGTAGGTCTACAAGTCTGCTGGGCATAGTTTTTCGAATTACGTGCCCAAAGTTTGTTTGAAGTATGTCGATATGGTTGGTATTCATGTCAACATGGCATCCAAGATGCTACATAACTTTTCCAAACGGTTACAGATTTCTTGCATATACTCAAAATGGTGAAGGGTATCATATTGTCGGTCCATCCGACTTGGGCCATTTGTGTGTTAAGGAGTTTTGTACGAATATACGCGACATTAAGTATCGACTATTACAATATCACATTTATAAAATATTAGAATTAATAATTTACTCACATAAATCCCAATGTACCATCAATGAAATTCCAACTTTTATCTCCCATTAAGGCATAGTTCAATCTGAACATTGCAATGCTGAGAACAACGAACGACAAAGCAATATGTAAAATGGCTTTAACTTTTCCACTCTTATTAAACACTAGAACGGCTGGAGCCAGCAATATCACAGGATACAAGTTGCGATGTGACTCAATCACAACAGAAAATAGAAACAACATCAGATGATGGTCTACTAAGGCATACAAAGCCAATGACAGGAACATATTACTAAAAACGGTCGAAGTCAAGCCGGCACAATTAAAAATAGATAGTGGATTAAAGAGGTACGCCATAAGTACCAAAAATGGAATAGTGCTTTCATCGTTCGGTTGATATTGTAGTTCTTCGGTATCTTTTGCATATTTTTGCAACTCTTCAGACTGCACTTTAAATTTTCTACGTACAAATATTTTGCTGACATGGTACAGAATGCATCCAGTAAAAATGTCAATAAACACATATAAAATCGGCAGCCAAGAATTTAGATATTCAGAGGCAAATTTCAGAATCCAAAGTATAACCGGAATTTCATGTACCATATCTCCATCGTATGGATTTATTCCTTGCTTAAGCAGATACACTCCTTCATTTACTGTAATAATAAAAAATAAATGTTTTTCTGTTATTCTGAACTCTCAGACAAGCAAGCATACACACCTCTTTTGAATGAATTTAATGGAGTTGCAATCTCTACGCGATTTCCTAATATATGTGCCCAATCAGAGAAACATAAGTACAGACGTATTCCTGCTCCTAATATTAACCATTTTATGGTGTGTTTATCCATATTTTAGTATTTCTTGCTGTTAGAATTTTTTTCTTCGTTTGTGCCGGATAAACAAGATTATAATTGTCATTAAATTGACAGCTGATTTAATTTTGCTGTCGATATCACGTTTTTATCGATTACAAAGTCTGGCAACGCTAAAGTGGCCCACACACGTCAAACATGTGCGTTCGATCGGTGTGAATCGATGCAATGTTTGACGTGTGTGGTACGGTGTTCACACCGATTTGCCGGTGCGCACACCGATCGAAAGAAATTAAAAATTTTTAATTTTTCGTTGTGCGACGCGCACATGTTTGACGTCTGTGGCCTGGTGTGTGGATATTTTCTCATTTGTTGAGGCATTTCGTGGAGTGCGGATCAGCGAACAAATGCAATACATATGTATTTGGAAGATTTTTTTATGTTTTTACACATATTCTACTGTGTGGCAAATAAAAATGTCTTTTCCCGGAATAAAATAAAAGTATTTAATACATTTATATTAAATAAAAATATTTCGTCCTTTTTCCGTCATCACTATCGCGGTCCATCTTTACGCTTCAAAAATAAATATGAAATGAAGTTTAATGGATCCGTTTGACGTGTGTGGGCTAGGAGCTTCACACCGATCGAACGCACATGTTTGAGGTGTGTGGCCCACTTAAACTACGGTACAAGATCTATTAATAAGGTCACCAAGATAGCAATCGAAATCGGAAAACAGCTGTTTTTTTCTCAAATCTAAATTCAAAAATTTGGACTTTGTTTACATTTTCATAATGGACGCCAATTCACAATAATGCATTTTGACAGCAAAATTGAGAGGTATCGATAATCAGTTGGTCTCCCTTGGTGACCTTATTTATAGGCCATGCAAACGACCAAGATCTATTAATAAGGTCACCAAGATAGCAATCGAAATGGGAAAACAGCTGTTTTTTCTCAAGTCTAATGTCAAAAATTTCGACTTTGTTTACGTTTTCATAATGGAAGTCAATTCACAATAATGCATTTTGACAGCAAACTTGAGAGGTATCGATTATCAGCTGGTCTCCCTTGGTGACCTTATTTATAGGCCATGGTCAAAAATTTCGACTTTGTTTACGTTTTCATAATGGAAGTCAATTCACAATAATGCATTTTGACAGCAAACTTGAGTGGTATCGATAATCAGCTGGTCTCCCTCGGTAACGTTTATAAGGTAGTCGAAAGCAATCGATTACAGCAAACATCTGTTAGAAATATATTTAAAAAAACTAATTTATTAATTGCAGTACAGGAACAGCCCAAATATATACAATTTATGGAGTATACCATGGTATAGTAATGTAAGGTAATAGCAAGTGTTGTTGTAGAACAATCGAAACAAACAACCACATTTTGTTGTTGTAAGTAATATCAGTGTGAACGACTGAAAAATGTGAACCAACATACAAATTATAATCAAGTTTTATTTATTCTAAGAATGTAATACTTCCGAATCCTCAAAGTAAAATTTAAAACCATGAATGAAAACCTATCAATTTTAATTTTAATCGCTTCACTTTTATGAGTAACACATATGAAAATACTGGATTTGCGAATTATTCTATGAAGAAAGCTTTAAACTTTGAATAAATTGAACACAGGAGGGCATTTAATAAGGAACAATTTTTAATTATGCGTATCAAATTTTCCTGTGGGTAATTTTTAAAACCAAAAAAATTGCATATTCATATTGACACGAGTATTACATAGGAATCATTGGGTTTTGCTGTCAAAAATCGATTTTGGAATATGATTTAGATATTGATTCATCCACAAATTATAAATTTCTTCTTACCAATGTTGTAAAATTCGTCTTCAAACAAGTGGATTTAGAATGGGTTTATCATGGATATATCATTGGGGGAGTCAATTGTCCCCAGGCTGCGTTACAAGTATACAGTCATTCGGTAGTCAATTCATTACCCTTTGCATTACCAGTAACTACCGAATTGGTATGATGTGCCTGGACAACTTTTTCAATGTACAAATGAATCCATTAAGCAACTAGATCACCAAGTAACTATCTATATAATAGCATGCAATTGATATTTTTGAACAACTGGGTAGCTAAGGCCTACCTTGAATAATTTTACCATATATATATATATATATAAATTGAAATTGTTCAACTTGAAATTTTGTGCGCTCGACGTATTTCGACAACGTTCATATAAACATGGTACAATAATTACAATGTAGGGCAGCTTGAAGTGAATAACAAAAAAGCAACTATGCACGTGTACGCAACAAGTTTGTGTTTATTTGACATTTTTCAACACAAAACTAAAAACGAGAAAATGAATGAAAGGTTAGGATTTCTTCCCAAAATCCAGTAGGGAATGTTTGTTTTACCTTAACATGTTTGTTTTATTCATAACAAAATAAAGGGCTATGCAGAATGCTCGCGTTGAGCCATCCGTCGCGTTATTTGTTATCGAAAATACAACAAGCACAAGGAAACGATAACACAAACGCTCGAAGTTGTTGTGCGCTGCGCTTCGGAGTTAAATATATTTTAACTTTTTGCATGCGTTAACGCGATAACAAAACGCTCAACGCGAACATTCTGTTTAGCCCTTAATTGCTTCCAGATGAACGCGTTAAAAACTTTATTTTCAATTCAATTAAACTTGAATACATTTCAATTTATTTTGAATTTATTTAACATAGTATTCAAAACAATACACACACATACAAAAAATATGTATTTTGATTCGATGGAACAAGCCACATTGAGAACAAATTGTAAATACGCATTGCGTATCAAAATATAAAGTTGAAAATTTTCAACATTGACAATGCGTATTTTCGTTTTTTTTTTTTTTTTGAAAATAGAATTTTATACCCTAGACAGACGACAGCCTTAATTTGCATTAAAAAGTTCTTAATTTGAATTAATATTTACCCCTGACAGACGAGAGTTTCTGCATTTATGAAACAATTTTTTGTTTCAAAACTATTGTTTGTCTGTATGTAAGAAGATGATATTGGCATTTGTTTTCAATATTTTTTTTGGGATTACGTCTTTATGAAATTGATACATCAGCTATAACGATAGTAAAACAGCTTCCAATTTGTATAATTGTTGAATTTTCCTTTATTTATAAATTTTATTTTCATAAACGTAAACAAATTTGACAACAATTAATTTACAGCATTGCCATATTGAAATTGCTTAATTCAGTATAAATTCAGTTTGATTTTGTGCATTAAAAACACATAAAAATGAGGATAATGTACAAATTAATTTGAATTAAGGGAACCCCACCCATTCTCGATTTTAATTTTTCAAGATTTTCAAAGGGCTGGTAAATGAATATAAATGCTTGTTAAGGTTTGTAACTTTGCACATATATAATTGAAGATTTAAAAGAGAAGAAAAATAATTTACAAAAAAAATTGTTATTGTTTTGTTGTTGTTTTTTGTAATTAAAGAAAAGTTTATTTTTGATGGCGGGCAATTCCTCAAACATCGAAAAAATGCCAACGGTGTTAGAAAAAGTACATGTCTGGCTCTCGTATGAACTAGGATTATTGACTTCGATCTAAAATTAACAAAATGGTGGACCTTTGAAAAAATATTTTTGGAAAATCGCCGATTTTTTACAAAAAACCAAGTTAAAAAATAAGTTAATATTTACCGATTGGCTTTATCCTAGTTCATACGAGAGCTATACATTCCCAGAGAAACGTTCCAGAATTTGGAACCGATTGGATTATTAGTTTTTGAGTTATCGTGCCCGCCATTCGCAAAAAAAAAAATTAGAGAAAAACGCATTTAAAGTTTAAGAAGCCCTTCAGCCGTCACTTGATGCTGACACAATAAATCGGCTATATCTTCAAGAGTTCTTGAGATTTTCACTTGAAATTGTGTAGAGACATTCTTTAATCAGTGTAGATTCGAATAATATCAAAAAAAATTTGACCCCGAGAATGGGGGGGGGGTCCCCTTAAGGCTGTTAATGCAAATTAAGGCTGCCGTCTGTCTAGGCTATTAGTCATTAAAAAATTTGTGAAGCAAACATTTTTTGATCAATTAAAAAAATGTTTTCATCCATTTTTGTCGTTTTCAATTGGCACAGATGCAAATATAGTCCTTGCTAATTTGGGTAATACAGACGTCTAACAAACTCTATAAAGGTGAGAAGGTGAGTACTTTTGTACGGAGCGCAATAAATTAGGTACGACACTGAAATTAAATTGAAATATATTCAAATTTAATTAAAATGAAATGATGTTTTTAATGCGTCCGCCTGGAAGTAATTACATTATTATGGATGAAGCAAATATTTCATGGTATTCCCTACTGATTTTGGAAAGAAATCATAACCTTTCATTCATTTTTCGGGTTTTTAGTAATGTGTTAAAAAAATGCTTTTTTGTTATCCAACTCAAGCTGTCCTACCTTGTATTAATGTACCATGGGTGGAAGCCCTACCTGTAATTATTATGCCATGCCACACTCAACTAATATTTCCTTGAAAAATATTGTAGTAATACGTTCACTCTTGGTCTGTTCCAGTTCTTTTTTAATAGTAAACCCAAGGTGTATTAATTAAGGTGCAAGTGACAATAATATGGTTTCAAGATTTTTCTTCTTTGTTTGTGAATTTAATTGTCAAACACCTTTTTGAAATATTTTTTAAATTTTAAAACTTTATAAAGGGATCATTTCTTAGCTTCCCAAAGAACCAAATGTAAAGTCCTGTCGCGGATCATTTCAAACACTTACAACAGAATATATATTTTGTTCATGGGCTATAGCATGAATTTGGGAATTTGTGGGAATTATTATTATTTTTTTTTTTTTTTTGACAAGAATTTAGCTCAAGGCCGACAAAATTTCTGCAAAAAAAAAAGAGATTTGTTGCGAAGGCGAAAACCTTAAATTGCAGCGAATGTTTGCTTCCCACTTCTATTTCTTCAGGTTTAGAAAGCAATATGTAGAAGTAATTCAGTAGCATATCTTGCATTAGAATCTGTCGATTGTGAAGATGTTTGCCGAGATCCGACCACCTAAATTTTATATTTAGATGGGTAGTTTCAAAGTGAAGTTGTCCGCAAGATCCGGATAATCACCTCAATTTTATATATCGGGTAGTACGGACTTCCTTGAAAAATATATATGAATTATTTTGTACTCTGAGAGCGATTTTGAAATTATTCCCTTTTACTAGATTTACTCAAGGTGTATTTAATAAGGTGTATGCATCAGCTATATCAACGAACATTTCGTTTTGTTTTTTCGAGTAGTTTCTGGAACGGAACTTTTATTGATACGTCCTACATAACGATTCGAATAGAATTAATATTTGGTCTGGTCCCGTACTGCAAAAATCTACTACTTTTTACAACAATAACGAATTTTCTTTTATGATATCGAAAAAAATGGTAAAATCTAATGGATTCTTGTAGTACGGGAACAGGCCAATTGTGTTTAATTCTGTCTGTTTATATGTATGTTTAACAATTTTTACTAGACCAATTGTGCACCAATACCATATCGTTATTGGACAGACAGGAGCGATTGGTGCAATCGTTCAACAGTCAACAGCAAAAAATCGATTTCCTACTATCGATAGTTTTGATAAATTAAACGTCAAATAGTATTTGTTTACCTTTGCAACGCGTGTTTCTTCTAGTTGTTGAACTAAAAAAATAGTAAATAAAATATTTATGAAAGGCCAAAAATATAAGGACAACATGCCAGCAGTGAAGCAAGAGCTTAAAATTGAAGACAAACTTCAAGAAATAAATCAAAATCTTTTGAAACTAACATCGGAACCGGATCAATATCTCATGCAAGTATTTGTTGGTGTTACATGCACGTGTTTGAAATTTGGATAAATGTTTTTATTAAACTCTCAATTGTATTTTATAAAACAGAGCACAGCCCAAAAAATGCAAGGACATAAGAAAAATGCTGCAGCAGTTGTATGGTATCACAATAGAGAGTGATATTAGTCAACATGGAAATCCGGAAATTTTGCCAGAATTAGTGGTAGATGATATGGACGAAGAACAAATTTGGCAACAGCTGGAGCTACGAAATGCCGCTGTTTTAGATACTATGATAAACACAACTGCATCCTTAATGGCTTTGCGAGAACAAAAATTGGAGATACGTCTAAAAGAAGATGGTGAAGGTGACGAAATGGACGAAGAAGAAGAAGAAGAGGACAATGAAGATTCAGATGATCATGATGATGAAGATCATATGGACAATGAATTGAAAGACGCTGCTAGCGAAGAAGAAAGTGGCGAAGAGGAAGAAGAGGAGGACGAGGAGGAAGATTTGTTCGAGGCCACTAAGAAAAACAAAAGAAAATTGAAACGTACCTCTGTTGTTGATGACAAGTTTTTCAAACTTGATGAAATGGAAGCTTTTCTTGAAGCAGAAGAAGCCAAAGAAGCCCGGAAGGAAAAGGGCAAATTGTTGGCAACAGATGACGACGGCATTGATTATTTCGACGAAGATTTAGGAGAAGAAGGAGATGAGGATTCAGATGAAGACTCCAATCCTAACTACAAAGATTTCTTCGATGATGACGATGGTGGTGAATATGACGAGAGTGATAAATCCAAAAGTAGTAAACAGAATAAAGATCATTTTGATGAAAATCCAGAGGAAGAGTTGGACGAAGATGAAAATGAAGAAGAAGAAGAGGCTGACGAAGATAACGAACTAGAGGATAACGGTTATGAGTTTGATGACGTCGGAAAATCCAATAAGGAAAAAATGTCATTTGGACCAGCAGATTCTGACTCAAACGATTCGGATTCCGACGAAGAGACAAAGGAAGAGGGTCCAAAATCATCTTTTGAAGTAAGGCAAGAGCGTCTAGAACAACGCATACGAGACTACGAAGAAGAAGTTTTAGGTGAAAAACCTTGGCAATTGAAAGGTGAAGTACAAGCAACAAATCGTCCACAGAATTCTTTGCTTGAAGAGGTTTTGGAATTTGAATCAACGGTAAGACCTGCTCCCATTATAACTGAAGAAACCACTCGTCGTCTAGAAGATATAATAAAACAGCGTATCAAAGATAAAGCGTGGGATGACGTTGAACGAACAGTCAAACCTATACATACACCCCAAGAGTATCGAAAACAATTAGTACTTGACCAGGAGAAGTCAAAAGAATCGCTAGCACACATCTATGAGAAAGAATATCAGCAGGAACTGGAAAAACTTAATCCTAATCAGGGTGACAATGCAACTGAGGAACCCAAAGAGCACAAAGAAATTCGTAACATGATGCGAGATTTGTTTATTAAACTTGATGCTCTTTCCAATTTCCATTTTACACCAAAACCTGTTGCACCAGAACCGAAAATTATTACAAATACTCCTGCTGTTGTCATGGAAGAAGTAGCGCCAGTGGCGGTTAGTGATGCAAAGCTGTTGGCGCCTGAAGAAGTCTTCCGTGGTCCGAAACATGAGCTTGTTGGAAAATCTGAACGCAGCAAAACAGATAAGAATCGTGCTTTGCGTAAGAAGAAATCTAAGCAAAAGGCCATCCATCATGCCTTGGAGGCTAAAGATTTACAAAAACAAAAAATGGGAATACCATTATCGAAGAAGGAAGAAAGTGCAAAATTAATGAAGAAATTGACGAAGCAAAGAAACGTCGAAAAGGTAAGACATTGCAATTTTTTCACATTATGAAGTTTTTTCTTCTGCGATTTGTGTATAAAGTGAAATTTTATCTACCACATAACTATACTCTAAACATAATAATTTGAGGCTTCGATAAGATGAAAAATGCTGCTCATTGGGATTATAACCAATATTTCTAAAATAGATTTGCTCAAAATCAAAACATGGGCCAAATTTGGGGATTAGGATCTCTCACAAAAAAATTGAAAATTATGAAAAACCAATTTGGTTACAACATTTAGAAGGAGTATCCGATAATATTAAGATTTTGCGTCTCGTAATTTCCTATCGGTCTTCCTATTGTATTGAAGCCCTATCGGGTCCATCAATCCGAAGATGGGCCCGTTTACTCCTTTTCGTATTTCCGTTCACAGAGTAAACATTTTGAAAACGTTGATTCAGAAGATAGATCACGATCGAAAAGGGATCTGTCGATCCATATCATTTCTCATCTGCTAAATAAAAATAGAGCAAGCTATCGAAACTTTGCACTTCTTTGTATTTACACTAAATATATTCAATATAGGTCCATCCCTTTCGGTACCACTTACACAAAATGGTAACAATTTTGATAAATCCTAAAAAGTTCCTTCCAGCTCCTTCCTTTTAAAAATTAAGTATTTTAATTCGTACCATTAATCAAGATAATATGATATATTTTTCTTTAATATGATCTATTTTACTTTAATGTTAATGTTTAATTATTAAATTATTTAGAAACTGCTTTTGTCTTTTTGGTAACATATTGAAAGACTTATATTTATGTTTCTCGGGTTGTTGACTATTTGTAATATGCTATTTTGAATTCGTTGTTTTTTATAGACATTGTCTAAAAATAGAAAACAAAAATAAGTATAACATTCAACATTGTTAAATTATGATTTCTGGAACAATCTTTCATCCGAAGAACTGGCGAAGACTTTTTGTAAAATATAAACATACAATCAGTTTATCATAGTCCAATTTAAAAAAAACAATTTTAAATTGAATTAAAATATAACAATCTTGAAATCAAATGCTTAACTGTCGCTTACATTTTGATTTTCAAATAAAAAATAGAGTTTTAAAAAATTCAATTTAATTAAATAAAATTTATTCTTATTACTATTTCAGGTTACTGCCAGCAACGATCATGGGGCTTTAAAATCGTCCAAGGCATTCTTCTCAAAATTACAGGATCAATCAGCCACCAACAACGGATCCACGAAAACAAGCAAAAAGAAAGCGGATGCCAAAGCCTTATCGGCCAAAAAGTTAAAGCTGTAGATATAATATTTTCGTACAAATGTTTCTATTTTTGTTAATTTAAGAAAAAAAATTAATACATACAATATATATGTATTTTTTATAGAATAAAAAATAAAAAAATATATATGAAATAACTGTCCACAGCGTTACAAAAAATACCACCTAACAGAATGCATAATTATATGGCTCATTATCTCCATTACGTGCCTGTTGATATGAGATATAGAAGCGTCCACAACATAAACAATGTTTATTTTCAACATATGAAACCTTTACTATCCGGTACATTTTTTACAACTAATTTAACCACCAAATGTGACGTCAAAAGTTACAAAAAACAACATTCACTTGGTTAGCCTTGCTATAAAAGTGGTCGTCTTTGTATACGTTTATGTATTCATATAATAAGTTAAGTGTGCGTGTACGCATGTAACTACAACCAAAGGTTTTAATCAAAGAAAAGGAACCCCCACACAGTCACGTGCCACAATGAAACAATTATCGCCATAAAAGCTCGAGGATGTCTATGTGATGTTGTTGTTATACGAACATTGAGGATAACCCGCATGTATTTTGTGAAATCCCTCCAGAATCATTTTATATTCATAAATCTACAACTTGTTGTCTTCTATTCATTCATAACTTTTGATACGACAATAAAGCTGACCACCTAGTGGGAAAATTCTTTGGAATTTTCATTTGTAATGATCCAATATAAAAATAATTGTAATTGAAAATACATATGTATGTAGGTATGATACATTGGCATTTTAGAGAAATGTCCAACTTACAAATGCTAAGTCCCACACATTTCAAAGGATTCCCAATGTTCAACTGTATAAAAATTATGAACACGTGTTATCTCGACCATTTTGCGCATCTATAATACACATATGGAACAAATCTCTTTTTTAAGCAAAATTATTGCAAAAGTTCATATCCATTATAGTTTCATTAGATTTTAATATGCAGCAATTGCACATCGATGTGCATTATCTACAAATCCTTTTTGTGTCATATGTCCTGTTATGGTAATGATGATTATTTAAAATGATATGACATATGCATGTTCGTCAGTGAATGCATTGCTTATTTGTTTTTATGGTGTAGGATTTTTATATTGCGCAATTATTTTGTATGCATCAATAGTAATAGATTTTCATTCGTTATTGAACATATGTATTCCATATTATGTGAGGGCATATCTGGTCTTATCTATATACTGGTTATTGCTCTCAGGTATATCTCTTTGGATTCGGCACATTTGATTAAGAGAAATTGCGAAACTCTGCGCCAGGATTTAATTCGCATCTGATAGCATGCAGTTCTGTTCCCCTAGGCGGACAATATCGACAAGTTATAACGAAGAAATACATTTTAATGTTGTACTATGCTCACAGAAATCTATCGATATATCTTGATTTTTCAATCAATTTAATTGTGTTGTAGAGAATCGCGTAGCGATATTAGCCGTCGAAATTGAATGAATTGGAATGAGTGGGTGGAATATTTGTTAATAAATATAATTGTACAGTATACAGTAAAGATTTTTCTGTGAACCTCTATTTCTTTAATATTCTTAAAACTATAACTTTATCGAGGAAGAATATATAAAACATACTATGAGTTCATTTTATTACATTAAAAGAAAATTTTAAGTGAACACAAAATTTGCAAATGTATATTTAATTGTTTGCTCAACCACTTCAATACCATATCTGCAGGAAAAGTGCATATATATTTTCACATATGTATATATGTACATATCGCTCCTTTGCTGCAAGACAGGCATAACTAAAAAACGATTTTTCAGAAAATGCATTTTAAGTTTTTAATTTACACAGACGTTATATAGAACAAAGGAAATTCTGTAGTGTCTCAATCTGAATATCTCTTACATTCATATGAATATTTAAACAACATGAGGTCTATTATAGCGAACAATCGTGCATCATTAACTCGAAAATCACGTTTTTTGAGTTATGCCTGTCTTGCAGCAAATGAGTGATATGTACTTCATGAACATTCAATGATATGCAAAAATAATGAAATAAAAATATTTTGATTAATTATTTTTGGTGGGATTTTGATGGGATCCATAAATTACACTATTTAGGAAATACATAAAATACATTACATAATAACATACTTCTTATATTGGGTCTAAAGCCGCCTACGGAGGTTGCGGTTATTGGAAACCGCAAATGACATTCGTTGACACTGGGGTGTTAGACGACATCGTGCACACCAGGGTACTGACTGCATTTATTTATACCTGAGCATATCAACAAGTTTTTCTGGTTTTGCTATAAGTCCTTGGTATGTTAAGAGGCTATGACACGGTAGATTTCAAACCTTCACAGAAAAATTATCTCATGGATGCATCGGATCTACGATCCGGAACGACTCGAATTCGATTCGAACAGGGATTGCCAACTCAGCGACAGTTGTACAAAACGAATGTTTTTCCCACAGGTGAGCAATCATGTCGGCAGCTTTGTTCGGCTAGCACTCCGTCTAGTTCTCCATACAGTAGTACTACTAATAGTGTTCATGCTGATAGTTATGTTAGTTATTTTACTAGATTCTGTTCTTTTCTACAGCTAGCACTCCGCACATACGGTAATTGAGATCTCAAACTTCATGCATGAAAACAACTTCCTCATTGCTGCCTTGCATAAAACAAAGCTAACCAGCAGTTGTTCCTTGTTCCTCCGGTAATTACAACATCATTTGGCGAGACGGATACCATGGTGGGTGTCGCATTCATCATCCAGCGAGATGTCAGATACACCCATACTTCCCCTTCGTCTCCATCCCATTCTGAACCATTCCTGGAGTTTTTGAGGATTTCAGTTCATTCCGATTCTGAAATTGTCCATGTATAATAGTTCTTGGCGATTTCAACGCTCATCATGAGATATGGTTTTCCTAACTTCCAAATGATCCTCGCGGTATTCTTATTACAAACAAGTTAGAAGAGTCCGATTTCACAGCCATCAATGAGGAACCCTCTACCAAAGTCACTGCCAGGTGTTCGAGCTCTGTAGCGCGACCAACTTCGTGCCGAAAGCCCCGCTGACGACAGAATCCCGCAGCTAAGCGCTGAAATAGATGATCTAGTCCTTCACCATAGGCGCTCTAAATGGTTAGAACACCTTCACCACTGCAATATAAATTTCATGCAGCTATGGTCTACTATTAAGAGTCTATCTGGTTCTAAAATAAATAAAAATCTATCTGATATATCCTTAAATAACATTCAACATTCTGATGCCAAAAAATGTGCATTGCAGTTCTGTCGTCAATTCATTGAACATTCGTCTTCGCAGAACGGGATCAAACGAGTTATCCTGAGATCCAAGAATTTTAAAAGATTTCCGTCCAGTGAGGTATAGGCAATCATCTCCAAATCCAAGCCATCCAAAGCGCTTGGTCCAGACGGCATATCCATGTTAAAGAAGCTTGGTGTAATAGGGCTGGGTTATCTGACCAAAGTTCTCGAGTTATCGATGTTACAGTTGGTAATTCTAGATATTTAGTCCCCATCACCAATTTCATCCAGGAGCACAATCTAAAAATATCCACTGCAAAATATACTATGTCTCTTATCACTTCCTGGATGCGGGAAGTCAATTTAGCTCGCATTTAGTCATTTCTCCTCGCATTCAAACTACGTCAACCAGAAGGTGAAAGCTAGGAACAAGTGAAAAAGCGTTAAGTTCGGCCGGGCCGAACTTTGGATACCCTCCACCATAGATATACTGACAGGTACTAGAAATGAAAATATAGGAAACATACCAAAAAGTGGACCTATACAAACATTTCTAAAAACGGATTATGTAAATGTTAATACAAATTTTAGAAATTTATTTAAAATTTATTTATAATGGATAATTATACCCTCAGCATTATGGCTAATGAGGGTGTATACACTTTAACACGGTGAAAATGTGCCTCAATGTCTTTGCCCATCTTATTATTTATCCAAACTTAGTTCAAATTCGAAGATGGGGAAAATCGGTCCAATCCTTCTGGAACCTCCACACAGAGACTAGGTCTAAATGCGGCTATAGTTCATAATCGAACCTTACGTTCTAATTTTTTATCTCGCTATCCTCCGCAGGTGAAATGATTACAACAGAGTCTTAGAACCAAATTCAAAATGCGTAACAGATCAGATAACTATTTTATTATAAAAAAGGTGGTTATATGGGGACTACCCTAAAAAGGGGGCGAATATTATTAATTTTTGGTAGGGAGATTTGTTACCATATACGACTACAAAATACCAAATTGCAGCAAATTCGATTGAAAAACGAAAATTGCTGAAAATTGGGGGTACCCTTATATGGGGGCTATCCGAAAAAATCGACCTATACTCATAATTTTTTGTGGAGAGATTTGCTGCGCAATAAGAATTCAAAGTACCAAATTTCAGCGAATTCGGTTGAAAAACGCGCTCAAGAACCCCAAAATACCGAAAATTGGGGCTACCCTTATATAAGGTCTACCTGAAAAAATGTACCTATATTTATAATTTTTTGTGGAGAGATTTTATACCCAATAAGAACTCAAAGTACTAAATTACAGCCAATTCGGTGAAAAAATGCGGTCAAACCCCCTCTAAAACTGAAAATTGGGAGGTACCGTTATATGGGGGCTACCAGAAAAATTGGACCTAAAGTTATAATTTTTAGTTAAGAAATTAGGTATCCAAAAAGACCCCATTTTACCAAATTTCAGCGAATTTGGTTGAAAAACGCGCTCAAGAACTCCAAAATACTGAAAATTTGGGGGTACCCTTTTATGGAGGTATGCCTAAACGTGGACCGATATAGCCCATCTTCGAACTTGACCTGCCTGCAGACAAAAGACGATTCCATGCAAAATTTTGGCGTTTTATCTCAATTCATTTATACGCTAGAGTGATTACAACAGACAGACGGACATGCTTAGATCGTCATAGAATTTTACGCTGATCAAGAATATATATACTTTATAGGGTCGGAAATGAT